GAATGGGAAGAAAGAATGGCTTGGAATTACGCCGGGTTTAACTACAACATGGTCACGTGCGTACCTCCGGACAATGCGAACCAATTTTTTTGTCCGAGTCATACAAGGGAAATAGCTACACAATTTCAAAAGGCATCCCGTGTTCCTTCATAACATTTAACCTATCAATATCACCACTATCAAGAACCCTCCGAGACACGAACAAACCGCCTCGAAGCCGTCTGACCGGCCATGAGCCCTGCCAATCATCCTCAGGCTCGCTGCCTCCGCAAGTATACTCCTTTGGATCAAATCTACTCGCAACCATACTCGAGATGCTCGCTTTTTGCTCATCAGGGTCACCTAGTTCGCGAGGAGTATGATTAGCATCTTCTTCAAGATCAAGTTCGTCGCTTTGAATGTAACGAAGCTTTGTCAAGCACGGTACGATTATGTCTTCATCCTGCATTGATTTCGAGACACGTAGGGCTCTGAACAGGACATCCGTTTCGAGGCGGCAGTTTTTGAGATGAAGAGTTTGGAGAGAGGGAGTCTGACGTAAAAAGTCGAGTAAATCTTTCGAGCTAGCACCGGTCGTGGCCAACAAGTTCAGTTCCAATAACTCGAAACTGGAACGGCTATAGAGTCTGGTGAGGTATCTAAGGGGCGAGATGCGTCTTTCCAAGTCTAATCTGAGGCTGCGATCATAGGCAGTTCTGTGTTGGATGGTAAGTTTTGTCAATGAAGGTAGCTTTAGTCCATCGAAAAATTGGGGACAACCGAATCCATAAAATTCGATGCTCAAGTCGTGGAGACGTGGAAATTCTATGACATCCACAACTATTTCACGGGAGGGATCGTCAGAGAGATCACGAAGGCACAATGAACATCCCTGAAGGGAATGGCAAGGTTCGAGGATTCGAAGAATATCAAGTGGGTGACCAGGCCGAAACACATGGTATAAATGTGTAACTCTTGAAAAAGCAGGTGAGAAGCCGTCCAGAACAGCGACTACGATCTTAAGCTTCACAAGTCGAGGAGCTTTTTCTATTACGGAGAGACTGGGGAAAGTAGCAAAATGATTGCAGCTTAGGACAACTCCTTCAAGTAAAGGTGTTCGGACCTCGGGATCATCGAGTAGCCTTTGAATATGAGAAGAGAGAATCCAAGGCTCGAAGCGCAAAGAGCGCCATCTTGGGGATACAGAGATAAGAGCATCGACAAAGTCATCTAAGCGCTTCGAAGAAAAATAGGAAGAGGCTTTGATAGTGATGTCTAGGGGAAGACCGCCACTTCTACCGAGCCATTCTATGAAAAGCGCGGGATCCCGTGACCGTTCTGTGAACAACAAAAGCTGCACCTGAGTCCAAAGACTGGATTGGGTTTCCACAATTCTTCTCCACGACCAGCAGACTTGAGATAGAATGACGACTGCAGGCAGATAGATGGTAGACCCCAAGCGCTCTTCACCTGTAGAGTCTCTGACGTTGATACCACCTCTAGATTGGATGCAATGATGAAAGATCTCGATCAAGATTTCTGGGGGCGCAGTATGTACAATGGATTTTTCTGGTTCTGAGGAGAGGTCATCCATGATTTTGAGTTTGAGGACTGTTCTTTGGGTTCAGTTGAGGATTTTGCATATGAAGAGACCTGGACGTACTTACAAAAGCAACAACTCCAAGGCTGTGGTCAAGTCAAGTCAAGTCAAGTCAAGTCAATTGTGGGCGTCTGGCACAGCCACGTGGACGCGACCACCTTTTTGTTCGAATCATCGTGCAATAGAATGCGAGCCTTTGTGCCTCTGCTTTATTCTCCTTCTGCCACTTCTCTTCATTCATAAAGTCTACCTTGTTCTACTCTGGTCGGTCCCAAAACAGCACTGGCATTGCTTTACAACGAGGAATATTCATCACAACCAGCTATTAATCCCTTTCGAAGTAGCAGTATAGACCGCATCAGTCTTTGTTTCGACCAACTTGAAGAAAGAAGATGTCCCAATCCCAACTCAAGCGCAAGCTATTCATCGCAGACGAGACTGGCAACACTACGATACACGAGGTCGTAGTTGAAGAAGTAGTGGAGAGACCAAGCAAAAAGGCCCGACTCGCATATTTGGGCATTCGTCAACACATCTACGAGAATGTAGATGACAAGGATTATGACAGCGAAGTTGAAGAAGAGTGGGCTGGCCCACCTCCTTATAGGGCTCCAGGGATTTGGCGAGATGAACGGTACTACGATGAGACGCTGCCTGATGATCATGCCTATGTTGTGCTAGTGGAAGATATTCTGTTCCGAGTGCGTGCCCATTTTTCTTCTGTTGACTCTGAGCTTGACAAATGCAACAGGTCAAACGCGAGGACATTCTTACTTTTTCTAGCAAGCTCGCACAGCTCTTGGAGAGCAAGCTAGCAAAGGCCAATGCCACTTCACCTACAAACAACGATTCTATTCCACTCGAGTTTGATGACGACTATCCTCACGAATGGCGAGCCATGCTCGACATCCTTCATGCCGAGTGAGTTTTACTTCCTATATCGTCCTAATCACCACCCTAACATCCAACAGACCTTCTGAACGAATGGCACCCATCCAAACCCTCGACCAGCTCCATCGCATGCTGTCCTTCGCAATCATGGCCTACCGCTACGACTCTATCTACGAAAGCGACGCAATGGCACTCATCTACCAAGCCTGTCTCCCGGAACACGTTGCCGAACTCAAACCTCCATTTCCATCCTCTATCCTAACACAGTGCACGCCGAAAACATTCTATCGCCTTATGAGAACCACCCTGCACGTTCTACGCCTATTCTACTCACACACCGTCTCCGCTACTGACCCTCTCATCAGTCCAATTCCTGTCCGAGAACCCGGGTTCTCGCCATATAGATCCAAACCAAAAGCCAAGCCCGAGGATGACTCTAGGTATCCGCCGTTCTACAAAAACCTGCCTACTGTCATTCTGAGGCACTGGATTGCGAGTCTCATGCCCGAAGCTGCAGCTTGGGCTTTGCCTTTGGAGAAACCTGAGCCTCAGATGGGGTCTAGTCCTATTATTCCTTTTGTTACGCCTACAACAACTAAGCCGTTCACGCCGTACCCCGAGTTGCCTCAGGTCGTCACGCCGACCCCCAACATCATCTTTTCTTATTCTTCTTCCGACGAGACATCCATTCCAGACTTGACACCATGCATTTCGGCAATCATCTCATCCGAAAAGCTCGGGATCCCAGAACTTCGTGGTGCAGCTGGTTACACCTACTTGCGAGGAATGGAAATGCGCCGAAGACTTTCTGGGTCGTCGTCGTCTGCCGGCTCTAAATCCATCAAAGGCAAGCACGGTCGCGGTATCAACGGGACCAGTGCTCCTACCTCGTCCACGAATATCCACAACCTGCTCACTCCATCACCGTTCAACTTTCACCGTCGACTCACCTCTGAGCAAATCACAAAGATCTTGCAAGGACAATGTTCTCTGGCTGGGGTTTGGGAGAACCTTGAGCGGTGTTCTAGGACTTTGGTGCCTAGTCCTGGTTCTGGTTCTTCTTTGCCTTCGTCTTTGTTGGGCGCGGCTGTCGCTAATGGAATCAAAGAGAAAGGAAAGGGAAAGGCAAAAGCGACTATCTCGCCGAAATCGTCGCCAACGAAGAATAAGGGGAAAGAGAAGGAGAGGAAAAGAGCTGCGGTTGCTAGGAATACGTTTAAAGCACCGTCTATGGACTCTGTCATGGATTGGGAGTCTGGGAATGAAGGAGAGGATGATGCTAGCTCGGTTATTCCGGGTGCTTTTCCGTTCTCAAAGCCGCCGTCGTCTCCAGCTTCAGCTTCAGCAAAAGGAAAAGGAACAGGAACGGAAGAACCCTATGTCTTTGGTAAAGGCCGCAATCGTCCATTCCGATTTTCTTACCCGACAGCGTCAAGTGCAGAAGCAAGTGGTAGCAGTGGTGGTAACGCGAAAAGAAACCCAAACCCTCTATCGAGGTACAATGCTCGCTATCATATCTCTACTCGAACCGAGTGTCCTGACGCTGCTGTTGATGCTCTTCATAGTCATATTACCAATCACAAGTCCACTGCAACGAGCGAACATCACGACCACGCAAACGTTTGTATACCTAGCTGGGAATATGCGTTTGCGTTGGCGGCTTCTTCTCCCTTGGTCAATGATATTCCAAAGTCGGATTTGTTGAGCGTGTTGGCGGCGATGATCGAGTTGTTGACGAATGAGAGTGAGTTGAGCGATTGTTTAGGACAGATGGATGAGGGGTGTAGGAGTGGTGCGTTGGAGAATTTGAGGGAGGTTAGGGAGGGAGTTAGGAGGGAGTTGGGGAGGTATTTTTTCTAAGGTTTGCTTGCATCTGTGTTGCGTGCGATGTGTTTTTGCCAAGGACTTTTTTTTCTGTACTTCTACGACATGGTTCTGTCATCTGCAAGTGTTTGCTCAATATTCTCCTTCACGTTCTGTATAATATTGTAACATTTCTCTCCGCCTCAGGTCATCTTCTGTACAAATGCATGTATCGTAACAGTGACAAGGTTTTTTATCAATGTATAAGTCCTTCGACTGGTGCACCTTGTTGTGCTCGAGTCTCACTCAATCACCAATCTAAGTATATATTCCTTGTTGCTGATAGCGTCTGCACAAATGTATGAGTGTACATATCCTGAACATGTTATAGAATAATCTCAAAGGAAAACAAAGAAGTCCTTTATGGGATTTTAATTGCCTAGCAAAAAGGAACTATATTTACGAGCTAGGATGGACACACTGGGAATTGAACCCAGCACCCCCCGCAAGATGCAACCTCTGCACAGGAAAGCACGAGAGAACCCTACACCATGTGCCCGTGATGGAGAGTGTGATGCCCAATTCCTGGAGCGCCACCTTCAAAAACTAGTGGAAAGTCGACACATACCGGCATAGTGTGATCCCTGGGGCAAGGAAGTGTATTGAACTGGTGTTAGAGACTATCGAGCCCACAGCAACTTTGCAAAAAGTAGAGAAAGAGAATCTATGGACACACTGGGAATTGAACCCAGCACCCCCCGCAATGGCATCGGAACGTATTCGTGCTAAGCGGATGTGATAACCAACTACACCATGTGCCCGCATGTTGGACGGCGCGGTTCCTTCTCCAGTGAGATCCTTTGCGAGGAAAGGATTGACAACAAGAAGGGGGCCAATAGAAGCAGAATGTAACCCCTGGATACGGATCAGTTGAAGGAGCGATTACCTCTACCCATACGAGTCTTCATGAGGGCGTTGGGCACGGAGATTCCAAGATAGAAGACGGAGCTCGAGTATGAGATGGTTTGGAGGGCCGGAATATGCCAATATGCACGTGCAGAACGTGTGAATCGATATGAACTGACATTGAGCTTCAAGTATGAAGTTTGAACGAGACAACGAATATGCTGGATAGCCTCCGTAGGCGTAGATGGTCAGTGGATCATAGATACACTGATATGATGGTTGAGTTGAACGCGAGGCTCTCGTTGAAGATGTTGAGCGGCAAAGTCCCAGGCCAAGTCGAATGAATCCAGGTTAAGGGAGCCAAGGCTGTACTACAAACGTACGGGGTATTCGGCCTCTACATACCGTTATGGAAAAGTTGCATAACTTCCCGAGTTGTTTGAGTAGGCTTGTGCCGACGCAGTGATGAGTGTAAATCACGGGATGGTATGCTCGGGACCACTGCCTCTTTGGTATGATATCTGGGGCCCCAAAGTTTTGCGAGGGATTGCCATGAGCGAAAGAATGGTGTTGTCTTCCAATCTTCAAGAAGCCTAAAGGCGCTGCCTTGGTTGTCCTTCTCCTATGTATATATGTTCAGATTTCTAGCGTCATTCAAGCTGTTGAGGTGGGCCTCTCGTAAACAACAAGCCGAGCGCGTGAAGGCAATAAGACCCATATAGATTGATGGTTGCCGAATGCGGATATAGATATGTATGCAAGTATGCCAAAGTGGAATCGAACGACTCCGAGAAATTGAGATTGTGAGCTCATACATAGCTCATATGTCGGATAATGGTCAGATATGTGAGCACATCACATCGCGAAGGGTACTTGAAGCAGTATTTGGAGTCTGGAGGTCAAACCAGTGCCAAGGTTGACATCGAGACTGCAAAGGAACGAAAGAAGGATATCGCTAAGGGTACCGAAAAGATTCTTCGCTGATCAAAGAGATTGGAAAGCTGTACATCAAGCTTGAAGCTTTGGCCTTTTTGGCTGGCCCTAGCCCGTACGTTATGCAGCCCATATACAGCGTGTAGAGTTGTCAAGCAAACCCAGCGCAGGCCTCGAGGCAACAGCTTCGTACGCCCAGCCTTGGAATTGAATTCGAGAGCAAAAGAAGAATAAGGACTCGTGAATGAAGGGAGGTAACTATGAAGGGAGTGAATGAGAACAAAAGAAAACCAAGGAAAGACATTGTTCTATAGTGCTGACATAAGCTTCTAGATAGGCGCACCGGGTATAATTTGGCTGATCGTCCTTGTCGGTCCACCTTTCTCCAACACTCTGTTTTCACGTCTACCAATCCCTTTTTCCCTTCCCTCCATCGACCTCAACGACGACCGCGATGCTTGTATCGGCCCCGGCCCATCATCCATTCTTCTTACTGTTATGTCTTCCGTCATTGGCCCTGGCGCTTGACAACCGCCAGTCTTGGTCACCTTTCTCGTATCTTTGGAGAAGAGCTTCAAGAAGTGTGCCAGAACAAGGCTACTATGACCCTAGAGACCACGGAGGTTCATGGCTAACAGTGAGTGCTTCATACGACGGCCAGGTCGAGGCTGTGGAGCTAATGTTGAATTGCTGGGATTTTCCATTGTAGATTGTAGAAGGAACTTTTCCTGCCGGGCAAGGCGAACCCATAAACATGGTTATTTCAGGCAACTCTGATGAAGCAGTATTGAACGACCAAGAGATAGATGGCGGACTGAGGAATTACTGGCTGTGCGTCCGCAACCTGGCTCCACTTGCTCGCTTCGACTAATATTGGCACGTTTCAGGTCGTTGGATTTTGCAGGAGAATGTTTGGGTCAGCATTCTGGGTCTGACCAAGGAGCGAATCTGGGAGATGGCAATGGCGCAAGTGCGTATTTGTCATGTCGTTTACTGCTTCAAAACTCTGACATCTCTCTACTAGAGAACGAGACTGCTGTGATACGATACGACTACCACGATCCGCAGCTAGGAACTTGTCAAGAGACTATCAATGGCGGCAACCACTTTCGTTATTGGGTGCAGGACGGAGATGATGCGAATAGTGGAGCTGTATTCATGGCCGTCTCCTACGAGATGCCCGTTGCGCGTGAGTTTTCCGTCCTTCTTGCTCCTATCCGTTGCAATTTTTTCTTCGCGTTCTTCTGCTCCACTTTTCAAGTTACTCACCCTTTGCCTTTCTCCTATAGTGCAACACGACATCGTACCCAATGGTTACAACCTCGCTCGCGATTATATCGTTAGCAACATTACCCACTCCGACATACCCACTCTCGAGCTCACAAACGGTACCACATACTCTGGCTCAACTTCATTTGGTGGATGGACCTACCAAACCGACGTCATATACCTTTCAGGGCTCTTGGAAAATACGAGCATAGGAATTAATCACAATATAACGGTGCAGACGAAGGACAGTAACGCTTCGGATGGACTAGTAGCGCTTTTGACCGTAAAGATCACAGATAGACCAGCTGGCGGCGCCTTGTGGGTTTCATCCTCCATTAGATTGACTCGCTCGACTAACACATCTTCAGGTCAATATCAATGACACCACAACTAGCCATACTGCCACCATTACTAGTGCTCATGCTTGTGCTGTTTCTTCCGCTGGCGTGGTTATAGTTGGAAGAATAATCATAGATTGATGAGGTCGAGAAGGAGAATTGAAATGACTGTTCTGCGGAGGCAGTCATAACTCGTTCTCTCCGCGCTAGCCTCGATACTTTTTACGCTACCATCTACATGGACTCTTTCAGATTCTCGCCGCAGCTCACGAGTCTTGCGGCCTTGCATATCTAGCTGCCATTTGTCACGACATATTCGACATTCGATCGGTACATATTAGATCTCCCTCAACATACCTCACCGTAACATTACTACAGCCTCGTACTATCACGACCCCTACCTCTCCCTTATACTCCCCACTTACCACATTCGTCCTGGTGACTAGTAACCTTCCATTCTGTAATCACACCCATACCATATCAACCTCATCTGCTTACCCGTCAATCAATCATCATCAAGGTCACCATCGCCCATCGGCGTCAGACCTCGGGCTAACACATCTACGTATCATCTACCATTAGGCCCTGCCTGTTGCTGCTTCGTCTCGCCTCTCTTCATATAGACTTCTACGATACAGAAACCAAAACTATCGCGTACAGTTAGCTACTTTTTCCCCTACTTTTACTTAGTTTAAGGTCTACTCTACGGTATATTTCTGCCATGGCCTGTGCACACGAACGTACATACAATGAATCGTACTTGATATCATACATATCTTTATATCACCTTTTTGTCGTTTACCTCTACAAATTCGAGTGTTTTTTTTTTCAAAGTACGTCGTTGACAGCGGGTGTACATTTAACCTGACGTCATCGCAAGCTTTGTCTTTTGCTCTTTCACGTTCACGCTCGTATTGTAACATTTGTACGCGCCTAGGGATGGAAGTCTCATGTATCTTCCATTAGTCCTAGCTTAGATCCTTCCCAGAGCCCAAAACCTAATCTCTGCAGCATTGCAAACGCGTTGCTTTTCGATCCAATCGATTATACTATACCACGATACTATTGGACTTGGTGAGAGCCGCTGCACCAAGCCAGTATGAATGCAAAGTTGAGACTATTCCGTTCCATATCTAACAAATATCTTTCTGAGAATTTTCGAGCATTGCCTCACTCTACTCTAGGCGCGACGACGCCGGTTCATAGGCAGAGCTTACGCGACGTTACTAAAAAAAAATTCCAGAAAAAGCGCCCCATAAATTACCTTTATGCGTGTGGCATGCAGGATCCGGATACATGACTACTGATAGAACTACAGCAGATCTGGACGTGCACATCCAGAAGCCCTCGTTGCTAGTAAGTAACTGGTTAGGCTTCGAACTCTATCTTATGAAGCGTGCTTTTTATCGCGTAGTTTCTTACCCAATAGAATCGCGGTGTTACCTTTATAATAACCCTCAAAGGACCCTTGAACAATGACCAGTCACGATCCTCGCCACTCGTCCAGTTCCTTTCATCCCAAAACTCTTTTAAAGCCACGATATCCCTTACACACCTATACCACTAAACCCTACAATCATGTCCCAACCCTCTAAACCCACTCCGAACCAGAGCGCAGATGACACCGAATCAATCATGGTGGCCTTTCGTCGCCTAGCCGTCTCCGAGGGCCTTTCGAAGAAAGGCAAACGTTATAAAGAGCTTCGAAGAGAGTTTCTGGGAGATGCCGTCCAACAGGGGTTCTCTTCTCATTTCGGGACGAATGCCACCAGTTTGCAGGCGTGGCAGGGGCTTTGTGAGACTATTTTGGGTACGGAAAAGGTGGAGACGTTGGGTTTGACGAGTATTAAAAAGTGCAAGGCGGTGAGTGTCCTTTGACTTTTACTTTCTCTCTTTCGAGATGGTCGTCTGATGTGGCATCATGAAATTTTGTTATCAAGGCACTCGATGGCGTCTACGTAAACTTGGTCGACTTGGCCGATGCACGGAACGCTGGGACGACTATTTGCAAGATCTTTTCTTCCGAGAAAGCTCTTGCGAAGTATATCAAGCGTACTGGAAAGATCTTTCCTAAAGCGATGGCTAAAGCTAATCCCCTGCTGAGACGCTTCTTGATCGTTGTTAGTGGGCATTGATCTTTAGTGGTACTCAGATCACGGAGATGCATCAGCTTTTTTGATTTTGGGCAATAGCTAATGGCCGGTCTTTGATGTATTTAGCTGGGAGAACAAGTGGGTTTTCGTGATCGGTGGGAGTTTAGAGAGATGCGATGTTATATCCATAGTAAAGTCCGAGTCTACTTCTATTCAGTAATCTATCAGACGTAACGGGTCCTTAATCCTCATTCTCCTGAGCTTCGGAAAGCGTCCTACCGG